CGTGTCCCCGGCGCACAGCATGTTCTCAGTGACCAGGCGGCCCGACAGCCGGTCAGACGTGCAGGACCGAAACGGCCAAAGGCGCACGCGGCCCTGCTTCAGCTGCTCCGAGTAGAAGGGAGAGACTGAGAGAGAGAGAGACAGACGGGGATTCAAACACTGTGATATGAACACTGTCATCAGTTCTGCACAATGCTGGGGACGAGATGGGTCTGTGCCATTCGGATTCTGTCAAATCATATTTCTGGACAGCCAAAATGCCAGAAGTGTCAATCCATTTCAGGGCAGCCCTTTGGGGGGGCACGAGAGGACTTTATCTTACGCAAAGAGATGCAGGAGTATGGAACAAGCTCATGCTGTTGAAGCTGATACGCCGGCTTCTTTCAAGAAACACCTAGGTATGATCCTCTCGTCATGATACTGTGCACTTTGCACTTCTTTACAGAAAGGGCTGTGAGACTACAGAACAATCTGTCTGGCCATGTTGCTGAAGCCCATACCCTGACGTCCTTCAGGAAATGACTGGATGACGTCCGGTCAGTGGGCTACTATCAGCCCAGTAGCTAAACAGACTCCTCTGGTCTATAGCCTCCCCCTTGTTCAAACCTGGCCAGCCCTGGGCTGTGTTTGTCCAGCCCTGGGCCTGGCCACACAGCCCTCAGTGAGAAGCAGCCTGATGCGGACGGAGACGGCCTCTTACACTCTTCGTTCTTGCCGTAGCCAGAGATCTCGCACTCGGTCATGTCGGGCAGCACCAGGTCCGGTTCAGGGAGGCAGACGGGTCGCACAGAGGGCGTCTGGATCGCGCACATTCCTCCTTCCCCACGCAGCTTCAAGAGCACTGGGACATACCCACACAGAGAGGAGTTATGCACACACCAACGCTATCCACACATCGCAGCAGGACTTCGCTGAGCCTCTGAATTCCCTGCATTGGCTTAGAGCTTTTCATTCCAAAGGAAGACCAAAACAGCAGGGTCAGCATGGCAGCAGGGTGTTCTAGCAATGTGCCAGCATGGTATCGTGGCACTGCAGTATACCAAGCATGCAGTTACAGTATGGCACCAGGCAGTTCATAGTGATGTTGCTGTGCATGTTAGAATGGTATTAGTGTGTGACTGGCACATGTAGGTATGGTGTTGGCACCTAGCAGGTGTCTTGTGCAGCAGTGGCTCACCGATATCGTTGTCGTAGGTCTCGTCATCGTAGCGCTCGTGCACCCAGTACTGCTCCACGCTGAAAATCTGATCGCTGCTCGAGTTCTGGAGCCGAAAGGTACGGCCCAGCACCACCTGCAGCCTGTCCGCGGTGTACCTGCACAGTAATGCACACAGTTATTCACCGGAACAGAACTGTAGCACCCACAGCACGCCTGGACACCAAGCCCTGGGCTCTGTGCCCTCCCCCCCAGTAACTCATCCTCTTTTCTGTTCCTCTGTTCCTCCTCTGTTCCTGGTACACCCCGCCTCCTCCATGACAAGCCCCGCCCTCAAGCAACAGAACACTCCCCCTTTTCTTTTCCCTTGGAAACACACCCCGCCCCTCTGAGACAAACCTAATCCTCAATCAAGTGCCACGCCCCTCTGTTGTCACCAGGCACTGCCCCACAATAAACAGACCACGCCCTCCTGTTGTCCATCGCCCCCAAACTCTCAGGCCCCTCCCCTCAACAGTCAACACGTACTTCTCCTGGAAGCAATGGGCAGCAGACAGGACCCAGCAGGAGCCAATGAGCACGCCCCCACACAGGAAGGTGTGAACCCGCGATCGGGGGCGGTACACGGTGATGGCAGCTTGCCAGGGGTGCGCCGTGATGTCGGTCATCTCGCCTCCCTTGATTCGGAACTGTGGCCGGGCGGGCGCCCTCATCCCACACGACTCTGGGAGCGAGAATGGAGAGGGAGAGGCCGTCAGCAACGCCGTGGATAATGTACACACTGTCACGCACTGCCGTGCAGATGAATGTATAATGGCTGGTGCTGGTGTTATACAAGTACTGGTGGGACGTTTGCAGGAGTGCACAGATGTTTTTCAGGTGTTGCTCGGGTACTGTGTAGGTGTGCCCCTCACCTCTGCTGCTGCCGCCGCTGGTAGGTGCCCGTGGGCCCAGTGTGGTGATGGGTACAGGCCGCTTCTCCACTGCAGAGAGAACAGACAGAGCCCGATGAGGAACCCCGCTCACCGCAGCTGGCTTTGGCTCAGGAAAGACAAGAGGGGATGA